TCAAAAACGAGCAAAAATTTTGTCAAAAAGGCTTTAAAGTCAACTTTTTGATACTCAATTGTGTTGGAAAAAAAAAACGAACAGATATCATATGGTGTGCTTATTTTTCCAATAAGATATACAAAATACACGCTTGATTATAAGAAATGGAAAAAAAGCGCGTAGGGTAAGATAAAAAAAAAATATCGACATAAAGTATCAGAACACTCCAGAAGAACTGTGGCCACCTATTAAATACCACTGTGCTGATGACGTACGGATGCGAAACGCGATCGTAAACGAAAATTGAAGAGCAACCGATGGCTGTGACAGACAGACCGATGGAGCAAAAGCCACTCAGTGTATTTTTTTTAGTGATCGTACAAACAATCAGACTCTTCGTCAGATGAGTGGCTTATCGGCAACCGCTGAACGTTGTTCATCAGCATGTGGTACATCAACCAGGAAGAAAACAGCCATTCGGGTAGTTCCAAGAGATAGCGAATATACATCGAATCAAGAACCGGTATTAAATGAAAAAATGCAGCACAGGATGAAAGGCCTGACATATCTGCTCCCGATGTGTGAGGCAGGAGAGGGTGGGGATGAGGGGAGAGGTGTCCTAGTAAAATCATCAACAGGGAACAACCACACGGATAACTCGAATAGTTTTAGTATTAATTCGTCAAATATTTTACTTTTTTCATGCAAAACGAGTAGAATGAAAAGCATTACTCATTTAAGACTTCAACTGGTACGCGACAACGCACAAATTCCTGCACTGTTGTATCTAATGCTCCATGTTGTGACGGACAAATCGCACCAAATTTGCCCAATTTTTTGATCCAAAAATTCAGCGCATAATAATGCTGCAAAATGCAATGATTTCAGCACCTAACACATAAAATTGAAGGTTTTTTAACCAAAAACCTTGGAACGAACTGCAATTATAAACGAGCGGGACTTTTCTGACTCAAATTTATGAAGAAAGGAAGAAAAGTCGCCAAAAGTCCAAAACTGTAGCCTTAGCGACTTATCTTTGTAATAAGTTGCTTAAAAATCGCGCTTTCAGGTATACATTTTGATAATGCTACTCAACAATCGAAGTTTAATGATTTTCTTATTTTTCATTTTTTAAATTCCGATTTTTACTAATAGAAAGGTATTTTGAACTAGGAAAACAGAAAATAATATTAAGAAATTAGTAAAAGTGGCAAAATTATTTTAATAAAATTACTGTAATGAAATCACTATAATACAGTTATAATGATAAGAAATATTTCGGTCCATTAAATTAAGCTTTATAAGGTATCGCTTAGGTCTGCTGTGCCCGAAAATCGCATCATATAGATTACCCTTAAACATGCAAATTGGTTTAAACGAACATTTAATTGCTTGAATGTTGAGTCATCGCCCAAAACAATGGCACAAAATTTGGCAAGACGAATCAAACTGAGCATAACGTGTGGCGATTTGCATTTTACTGCCCACGAGCGTGTTCGTACCAGGATCTGAATATACACATAAATCTGATTCCATGGGGTATTCTAAGAGAAAAAATTAGGCGAGTTTTTTAAAATACATCCATATTTGCATCGCGAAATATAGCTGAATATTTGAGCAAATGTATTTCATCAATGTCGGTCGTCACGCCATCAGTGCAGCTGGCAATTTCTCCATTCGATCGCTGTTGTGCTCTCCGAGTCCATGTGGTACCATACAGACGGACTATGTAGTCCCTCAACTTCAGCGGTACCCCCCCTCCCCCGCCTCAATGTTCGCTTGATCGTGCGCAGGTACCATTCCATTATCCGCTTCGTCCATCTGTTATCTGTCATCCGTGCCACATGACCAGCCCATCTCTTCTTGCTGGCGTACAGAGCATTTAAGAGGATGCCATGCCTACAGAAAGCGGTGTCCACAGGAGAGGCGGACGGCACAAAGACCGATGGTGTAGTGGTGTAGCACGTTGCGTTCGAATGTGAAGGGGAGTGGTTCGATTCCTTTCCGGTCCACGACTTTTTTTCAAAAGAGAGTACCGTTCCAAAAACAGAAAGTGAAATTAGTTACAAAATCATTAGTTCAAAAAGAAGACGTAGTCATAAAAAAACATTACTTCCTTAATATCAGTTGCGGGTGCTGCGAATAACAATATTACGCAAAGTTCCAAGTCCGCATTGCTCTGTGACAATATGCGTTCCATTAGCAATTCAGTAGTGCTACGCAGCTCGCCGCGCACCATGTCAACTTGATTCGCAGCTACATAGCATGCTGAAACTCAACAGTTTATATAGACAAGCAGTTATAAGTAGGCGAATGTGAATGAAAAAATAGAAATACAATGAAATAAAAAATAGTAATATAAATATAGGAACGAGAAATCAGAACTATTTATGCAAATATGTGTAAACACAGGTAATTTATGCACACGCACACACACACACATACACACATATGCATGCACAGTGTGAACAGATGAGACAAAGACGTTTCGGTCCATTAAGTTGCAAATAAATTTGAACAAAAAAAAAACCCCAAAATTCTTGTTTTCCAGAACAGATATTAGTAATGACATACATAAAACATAAAATTATATTAAAAGTTAAATTAACAGGAATGTTTCGGTCCATTAAATCGTACATATGCCTGTATATATACACATATGACCCGTCCTTCATAATAACTAATTTAAAGTTGTTTCCCTGAGCACCAAGAAATGAAAAGAACAAAACTTTCGAAAAATTTACGTAATAGTGAGAATGAAGAGCGTGTGCAAATGGCCAGAAGAATTTGATTGTTCAAAACCAAATAGGAGCAAAAGTTTTTCCATGCATCGCGCATCGCTGCATAACATTCGGGCAGCTCGCTGCTTCTGCAATTTTTTGATTTCACTGCTCAAAATTGCCAATTCAAG